AATTGAAGACGTTCATTACAATTTATTTAAATTGAAGACGAGTACAAGTTTATTTCTTTGAACCCCTCTTTTTGCATGATGGAAAGATATTCGTCGCACCCCCAAGATCGAACCACATTTGACTAAACGGTGCGAAATATGTCTCCCATCCATCCACGCTTTCTTGGTGACCGCCTGGCCACATGCCATGTGGAGGGGGCATCGGTATCTTGTCCGCCGGGAAAGAGAGGTAGATCCAATGATCCTGGACGAAATGCAGAACAATGACTCCTCTAGGGTGGGCTTCCCCATATATGTTGTCCACTGGCAGAATGGTGAAGTAGTACGAACATGGAGTTGGGTTGAGGTAAGAGCTGTACATGACAACAGCCAAATTAAATAGTGTGGCAAATACGAATAGATCCACACCCATCATCCAATGATGTTGAGTCGTTGGTGCTGTAGTAGTGATGTCAATGCGTCTGATTGCATCATTGATGCCTTCACCGTAGATGGGTGCGTATCGCCAATCGTGCTCACGCATTTCTTCAGCAAGTCGTACCCTCACCCTTGTGAACCCTTCTTGATTACCATATAGTGCAAAACTAAGTGCACGAAACCCACAATGACCGTCTGGCACCGGGTCGTGGATGGCAATGACAAGCGGCTGAATGAAGACAGGAAGCAGTTCCATGTGTGCGTAATCAGAATGGGGGCTGCTGGGTCCAGGGATATCTGTGAAGGAAATAGGTAATCAGCACAAATGCGATGTAAAATATTAATATAAATAACTACACTTATGAAAAAATTAAATTGTACCTATGTCAGGACAGTTGTATTTGTTATTATCTTCTGGATCATCACACTCCTCCGCTGCATGGTCGTCTGACGGGTACTCGTCTGTCTGAGTCCCCGTGGACTTGGTACTGGTCGACTTTGTAGACCCCGACGTTGTGCTTCTCGACTTCTTTTTCATGCTTTTCTTATTGCCTCGCAGTATCTTTTCCCACCACCCTTTCATTCTTCCAGTTGATTTTTTGGCTGGGCGCCCCTTTTTAAATTCGTTCACTTCTGGCTCGTGAATGTTGTCCTCCGCCGGGTGGAGACCGCGAAACACGTTCTTTGCTGCTTTTTTCGTTGCCTCTGGTCCTCTGCGTACAGCCTCATCAACCAACTCCTGAAGGTGAGATCTAGCCTCCTCCTCCTGGGGAACGTACTCCTGAGCATTGGGTGGATGCTCGTATGACAGTGTCCGCCAATATATATGAATATCACCGGGATATATCTCTATGTCTCGCGCTCTGCCATCCATAACTTGACATCCACACCTCAAGCCGTGTGTCAAAGAGAAATGACATGCACATCGGGAGTTCTCATTTTTTTCCAAGCGGGCAGCCAATTCTTCTTCAGCCTCCTTCATTAATATAATTGCCTGCATGCTGACCTTCCTTCTCAAGTATGTGAATGGTGTACCACCAGATGCTGAAAGGGTTTTCTGTCTAGAGTTTTCCAACATCATCCTAACCTCCCCGAGTTGGTTAGTAATGTAGCGGTGGTTTCCTTTCCATACAGTGTCCATAGATCCCCGCGAGTTGTGGAGGAAAGTCTTCAAAGCGGAATGTGACGACTCAACCCTGTTTGTGCTCGTATTTCCTAGATGAAACACATTTTTTGTATGACAAACAGCCCACTTTTCTCGATGTTGCCACCATACTCCCTGTATGTATTGCAACAGACGTGGTTCTTGATTGCCCCATCTTGTCCTAAAGCGGCCAAACGTGGCCAACATACCTTGCTCTGACCAAGAATAAAGCATATGACACCAATATTGGTCGTACGCCTCGTTGACCAAATCCATCCTGTCCTTCCCAAATATTTCCAAACACTTCTTCTGCACATTGGTGTTGATGTGTCAAACACATAGCAAATGCGGGGTGCGGGGGAAGACCACAGGAACCGTAGCAAGTAGTCCACCTTCGTGGTCGGTGACGATGACAGTGGGCACGCGTGGATGGAGCAATTGTTGTATGCACTGCAACAGCCACAGATACGACTCTTTTGTCTCATCCTTCATGAGAGCACAACAGATGTTGAAATTCTTCCCAACTGGAGTAGCACCTACGACCTCCACCCACGGCCATTTATATGCATTGGTCTTATACGTTGAGTCGATCAGAATCACGTACGGCCAAGCCTTCAACATCTGGATGGAAGTTGGATGGGCAAAAAAAAGATGTGTCAGCACGTCGTCATCGTCCTTCATAACCTCTGTATGATAATTCTCACGTTCAGCTTCTAGCAACGCATACTGCACTGCATTCATCTCGCCCATCTCGTCTTTCCTAGACTTGGACCCGAGGTTATACATCTCCCTTTGGGTGTGATGCCCTTTGTCACCCTTCTGCTTGTTTATTGTCTGCTTCTGTTGCGACAGAGGTACCCCAGCATCTCTCATCTGCCTAAGAGATTATTTATCCTCCTGACTCAATTTATCCATTTGACTGTGGCCCTCGGGATAAAGCATCTTCTCATGATTGTGATACCCTCGCCTTAAATCGGTTCCTTGCTCCGCGACTCCTTGTATCTCCCAGAATGAAGGTCCATCAAGAGCATATGGATTAACCAGTAGTTCTTTGATTTTAATCTTGAACATGCATCCCGCTCCTTTTGAACTTGTATTGCCACGACTCTCCTTGGAAGGATCCGGCTTGTATGACTTCCTCTCCCTACTGCATCTGTCGCAATACATATAACAGATACCCAATACTCTTTTGTTGATCAACTCACGTGGCTTCATCGATCCCTTAGTTAGAAAGAAACCAAGAGACATCGCGATGTTTTGGGTCACTGTTACAGCATCTTCGAAATTGGCATATCGGACGCCATTGAGAAAATGGTCTGTGTAATCACCAATTAGTTCAACATTGTCAGCCATATCCACTTGCAATTATGATTTTACAACTCGTTAGAAATGTACAAATTATATGGTTCTACAAAATTAAACTAAATGCAATAATTTAGTTAAGTCTAAAAAATACAGATAATTTAAATATAAATTATTAAACCAAATTAGCTCTACGAATTAAATCTAAACACAATAAACTAATTTGCGCTACAACAAAACACAATCACTTAATTAAACTAGTTGTGCTTCAATTGACTCTACAAAATTAAACTAAATGCAATAATTTAATTAACTCTAAAAAAATAATGATAATTTGACGATAAGAAAATTATTTTAATATAAATTATTAAACTTCTTTAGCTCTACGAATTATATCTAAACACAATAAACTAATTAGCGCTACAACAAAACACAATCGCTTAATTAAACTAATTGTGCTTCAATTGACTCTACAAAATTAAACTACATGCAATAATTTAATTAACTCTACAAAATAACGATAATTTGACAGTAAGAAACTAATTAGCGCTACAACAAAATACAATCGCTTAATTCAAACTACATAGGAATTTAACTATGTAAAATAGAAATAAAAGCAATAAATTAAATATAAATTATTAGCTCTAGAAATAAAATAGAAAAAAATATGACACTGCTATGCATCCGGTCCCCGTCCGCTCGCCGGCATCGGACGGCGACCGACGCCGGCGAGCGGACGGGGTCCGACGACCGCGAGCGGACGCGGTCCGACGACGGCGAGCGGACGGGGTCCGACGCCGGCGAGCGGACCGACAAAAAAATCCAGGATGAGTGGGGTTTACCTGCTTCGCTGGTCTGACGATGGGGTACGGCTGCCGTCCAGTGCCCGGCGAATTATCCTGACGAGATTGGTCCGGTGGCCGGCGAGTTTGGCTGCCGTCCGGTGGCCGTGAATCTGGCTGTGGTGTTTGTGGGGGGTTGGTGGTCGGGACTCGGGTAGTGTGTATGTTGTTTAAAAAACCATTTCAGCGAATAGAATATAAAGAAAAATTTGGAAGGCAAAATTGTCTTTTTAGTGTTTTTTACGGGCGGCTAATAGTAATTAGACGGGCGGCAAATAGTAACCCTGTTTATTTTTGATTGTTCGTGCTTCAGAGGAAGAAGGGCGGTAGAGAGAAAGCGAGAGAGAAGGGAAGTCTCTAGAGAGAGACAGACGAGAGAGAAGGGAAGTTTTTTTCGGTGAGAAGAGAGAAGGGAAGTTGGTTATAATCAAAAGCAGACTGACGTGTAAGGTGACGTGGCTGATGACGTGAAACTCTGTTAGTAACATGGTTAACGCTAACAGGGTTGTTAGTCATATTTTTAGCCGCAACAATAGTTATGGCTAATAATTTGTATTTCGATAGTTGTGGCTTTGAGGAGCCGATGGTTAATAATTGTGACTAATATACTGTATTTACCCTTTTTTTAATAAAAGATAATCATATTTGATTTGATTGATATAAAGATCAAATATAACACCCTAGAGTCAGTTCCAGAACATAAATCAAACAATCGATACGAGGTCGGAGGCAAAGAAAGGGCCTTCCGAGCCACAAGATGGACTACCCTAATGCTAATCCGACCTGCAAATCGAACATGAACCAACATGCAGAATTTCCTCAATAATTGCGCCCACACGGTTGTCTCTTGCATCCTTGGCATTCATATGGTCAATGAGCACCTTAACTTGGTTCCGGTTTGGACTAACAACCTAGGCACTTATTGTACTTGCCTCGACTTTCAAATAACCATAATCGAATGAACAAATGTTGTTATATGTTCTTTATTTCAGAATTCATTTCTGTGGCACATCATAAACGTGCTCCTACGGTCCTACCTTTAATTGTATCACAAACAATTCCTCAATCCAGCTAACCACATATGTTTATGATTGGCCTTTGATTAGCTTATTCACTCCAAAGCAAGTTTTTTGGTGGTGATGTCATTGGGCTGATAATGTCTGGTATAAACCCAGGAATTCAGACCCAAATCTTGTACTGGGCTTAACCTCTAGCCCAGAATCAAAGCTCTTCTCCTCAAATTTTACTTCTATTTAATAGGTTGCTCTCATATTTTTATTGTTATTTTATTTTCACAATAATGAAAATCTAGAAAACAATTCGGATAACTCAATCCCACAGGCAAAGCCTGCATTCCACCTCTGCAACAAAGAAGAGAGGAAGAGTTAAAAATGGCGGCAACCTCCGTCTCTGCCTCGCTGGTCTCTTCAGTTACTATCTCTAGTTCTTCTTCATTCGCCTCCAAAGCAACTCTCACTTCAGCAAAGCTTTCGTCTTTGCCCTTTCCTTTATCTACGCTGTCCAATTCCGGTCTTAGTAATGCCTTCAGGACACCGAAACCCTCGTTGCTGAGTTCATCTTCAAGCCGGGCCTTTGTCGCTCCTGAAGCTTTGGATTCTCAGGAAACGCTAAACCCACCTTCTGAAACCTTTGATGACTCTGATTCCGGCACTTATGAGGTCCATTCTTGTCTATTTCTCTCTCTTTCTCTTTTGATTGATGAATCTCTCTTTATTTGGCAGAAGCTTGTGTCTGGTTGCTGGGAAGTGAAAATGTCTGCTGTTCTATCTTATTACTATGCAATTCTTGAGAATTTCGGGATTGACATTTGTTTTAAATGTTTTCATTTTGTGGTTCAATGTAGCTACCTTTTGTTGTGGATATTCTGGTCTGTTCAACTGAACTTTCATGACCTTAGTTTTTGGGAGGATTGAAGGTTTGATACCCGTTGTGTTGTTGCTTTGTTTATTTGATTGATGTAGGTTTCAAGTTCCGAGACTCCGGGTTCTCCATCACTCGACATTGGTACCGATACAGACAATGTATGCTTCTGGTTGATCATCTTCTGATAACGTAAATGGCTCTAGTTTTCGTTTTATAAACTGTGTAGACTTAGTCTAGACTGGTTTGTGCATTGGTCTTCAAATAACTGTCGGTAGTTTTAGCTCAGAACCAGCATTCCAATTGGTTTGAAGATCCCCAACAGTTAGGGGTGTAGATTTTCGCAGCTCTTGAGAAGTCTGATAAGGATTTGGAGTCTGTGTTTCTTATTGCTTCCCTTTCCGGCTACTTCCTATAGCTGAACGTTTATCTTTTATTTCTTGTTGCTGCTCCTCTATCCAGATGGCCCCAAAGCAGAAGATCAGAATTAAACTTAGGTCATACTGGGTACCCTTGATTGAAGATTCCTGCAAGCAGATAATGGATGCTGCAAGGAATACGAATGCCAAAACCATGGGTCCTGTGCCGTTGCCTACAAAGAAGCGAATCTACTGTGTACTAAAATCCCCTCACGTACACAAGGATGCAAGATTTCACTTCGAGATTAGAACTCACCAGAGGCTAATCGACATTCTCTACCCAACTGCTCAAACAATCGATTCTCTTATGCAGCTTGACCTCCCTGCTGGAGTTGATGTGGAGGTCAAGCTATGAGAAAGCAATGCTTCATTTAGGTAGGATTGTTTCCCTTCTTTTTCCTTCTTCATATTGCTTGATTTGTTCATCTGTCAACTACTGGAAGTAAACAGTGCGTGCAATGTGTTTATCTTCTTCTTTACGATGAATGCAAATCCCATTCACCACGGAGTATATATATGCATATACTTTTGACTTTTGTTCAGTTCATGTTTAGGCTCTATCTAGCCACTTATAGGGCTGAAGTTGTGAATCTTTTTTGTTTCATCCTGGTTATTCCCTCAACAATTCATCTAGGAATATGCATTCTTTTTCCTTCTGAAACTCTAGTTGGGGAATATACAAATTGAAACATGAATTAATTCGATATCCTTAGTTTTCAACTAGTTTCATTGGTGGAATATGAATCTTTACCAATGGTTCTATGGTATACTGTTACGTCGAGGAATATGTTTGTTTTTGAAACCCGTCCAAACAGAATCGTGGTTAATGAATTGAACCTTGCTATTGCAGCTCGTCGAGGTCTTCCACCTCTACAAACAGCAAGGAAATGAAAGTTCGGTGTTCTACCAAAAGCTGGTGGAGTACGTGAACAGGGTTCTGTAAGAAACCGTGCTACTAGTTCAATTAATCACCCTTTTAGATTCTTTGCTTAAATGATTTTGATAGGTGTGTGGTATGAAGAATACAGATAGTAGGCGGGACATGTTCTTTTGTTACTCTGCGTAACGGGGTTGGGAAAAAGGATAGGGGCATCATAGAACACTTCTCTGGTCACTATCGCCATGAAGGTGCTGGAATGCTGCTAACTGTGCTCCTTGATGAGGCTGCATAGGAACATTGTCATTGCCTTATGCCTAGCATATCTTGTTTCATTCGTTGCACCTACTCAAACTATCATCATCGTGATTCGTGAATTTGTTCCAGCCATTCTTTTTGTTGTTTAGCCTAAATCAGATTGCCGAGATTGCTACTGGCTAAGTGGCTATGATGATTTGCCTCTCCAAGGTTCTGAAAGACCACATCTGCGAAAAGATGATGATCTTTTGTTATGTGAAGTAATAAAAGTGAGTGACACGACCGGACCGTCGCATTGAGTGGAAAAGTTGGAGTCTTCTTCCTCTTTTCCATCCTCTTGTTTCATATTGGTAGCTCGGATAGGGACCGTAAACTCTTCCGAATCATTAAAGTTGCTTGTTTCTTTCTTTTGACTGGTACCTTTTTCTAGGGTGTCAATGGCCGCATACCACCCATACAAGTGGATTGAGCTTTTTTCAATGTCATTATTGTCGACAATGTTATCTTGTCTCCAAATATCGTCAATATTCCTCCATTTCCGTAGTCATGGCTCACGACTGTTTCTCTGGTTTTCCACAGTAATACCATCTGCCAAAATTGAGTGGTAGCAGACACACGCACGCATTACTGTGTACATGTAACTATGGAGTGCACATGGCTCAGTCGGGCAGACTGAATTCCACCATTTTTAAACAGAGCCGGCTGTTTATCCACCATTGACCACAAGCTATGAAACCTCCTATTACTAGAATGAACACAGGGAAGGAGCTGGCCGCGTATGCCTCCTAGTGATCAGGTTTTAGCAACGACGGCCCAAGAAATCCCGTAAGGAAAGTGATATGGAGCTGGATTGCCAGTCATTCCCCATACGCAATCGATAGCGTCGGCCGCCGGCGCATTTTTTTTCTTCTTCTATATATTTCGACGGAAAGCCCATTCGTGGTAGTTAGTGTATGGAGGTAATGGAAGGGAAGATTGTATTTGGATGTCCAAGATAATATTATCATAATATATTTGTATATTATTAATACTCTGGTCGACGGAGGAGCAAAGGCAAAGCGAAAGTCATTCAAGAGAACACAGTTAACGCCTTGACGGACTGTCGCCCCCGCGACAGAGAGGAGACAGTCAAAGATTATGGATCTGTGGGCTGCGGCGTCAGCACTAACGTCACAATAGTGTTGTTTGAGCACATTGGGTTGCTTTTCTTTTCTTCCCCTTTTGGTTTTACTTGCTTGCTTGACTGCCCAAATGATTGTATAATACTTTACTTGAATAAACCATAACAGAATAACTTCCAGACAAACCAACACAATCCAAATACTACGTTGTCTTTTTAGATCAAATTGGGGAATGCACAAGGTTATAAATATATAATCCGCAAAATAAAATTAAAAAAATTCATAATATTCCCAATCATATCCTTTTACGTTGATTAGACGATCGCTCAAGTCACCAGTCTCAATAAAATTCACCAGATTGCGTAGATAGAGTGACATGCTTTCGTTGTTGCAGGCTTCTATATTTATAACGTGTGATCTATATGGCTTTTAGGAGATGCATTTGATATTGCAATTAACATCTTTACAAAATGAAAAGAAAATATTAACTTTACTTTGCTTATTACATAAATAACTCAAAGCCTTTCTAGTTGTCCTAGTAGTAAGCTATACTTTAATGCAAGCAAAGCATATGCTCTTATCATGTATTTTAGAATCCGCTCTCTTAAGGTATTTGGAGAGGAAAACAATGAGAAAGAATATTCCATTCCACTATGAGAGGTTGTAAGACATTTCTTATTTGTTCTTTCAAATGATTCCTTTTTTTATGTATCTACTAAATAGAAATGGACGAAATGAGTCAGAATGAGTCTGCAAGGCTATTTGATTACGCTGATAATCAAACCGAAACATGTCAAAGTCGAATCAAGAAAAAATGAAAATTATGTAAAAACAAATCACAACATCTTCAATCTTAATTCGATTTTGATGTAAACTTCCATCCGTTCTAATTTCGTCCGGATGCCGGCGTAGACCTAGTCGCGAACAGGCTAAAAAACACACGTGTACTTACAGTTGGATCAATCATTGAAGTTTGGTGGGTGATTTTGGGAGCTGGGGAAGGAGCTGCTGCTGCTGCTCGCTCCTCCACCTCCGCTCCGCTCCGCTCTTTCTATATAATCAACGACGGTCGATTCACAACACAAGCTCAGCTTAGCACTCAACCCTCCCTCACCAAAAAATATATCTGTATTTTTATTTAATTTTCTTAAGGATATGAAGTTTACCAGTTTAATCCGGAATCAAAACGGCTTCCCCAAGAAACTCTCTCATTTCCCAATGAAACTTCTGGTCACCACCGCCCAGCTCCCTCTATATAAATCCTCCTCCACCTCCCCTCTTTTTCTCCACTCCAAATCCCAACCCAAATCCGCCGCGGAAATCCCTAATCTCTCCAATCGCTCCATGGGGACTTGCGTCGACACTTGCTCCACCACAGCGGGCCGCCGCGACGGCGGCACCCGGCAGCAGCGCACCCGCGACACCATCGACAACAGGTACGCCCGATTCTACAAGCCCTGCCCTCTCGTCAGAAATTTCCAGACCCAGACCCAGACCCAAACCCCGCCCCTCGATCGAATCGAGGAGACGACGGCCGCGGCCGTGGAGGATCTCTGGGCGAAGATGCGGGAAGAGGCGAGCCTCGATGCGGAGCAGGAGCCGATTCTCTCCGGCTACTACTACACCTCGATTCTTTCGCAGACATCGCTCGAGGGCGCGCTGGCGAATCATCTGGCCGTGAAATTGTGCAATTCCAGCCTCCCGATCGGAACCCTGTTCGATATCTTCGCCGGGGTGTTGGGCGAGAACCCGGGAGCGGTTCGGGCCGTGAAGGCGGACCTGCGGGCCGTGAAGGAGCGCGACCCGGCCTGCATCAGCTACGTCCACTGCTTCCTGGGCTTCAAAGGGTTCCTAGCTATCCAGGCCCACCGCGTGGCCCACGAGCTCTGGCGGCGGCAGAGGAAGGCCCTGGCGCTCCTGATCCAGAATAGGGTTTCCGAGGTTTTCGGGGTCGACATACACCCCGGCGCGCGGATCGGGGAAGGCGTGCTGCTCGACCACGCCACCGGAGTCGTGATCGGAGAAACGGCGGAGGTGGGGAACGATGTTTCGATTCTTCACGGCGTGACACTGGGCGGGACCGGGAAGATTGGCGGGGATCGGCACCCGAAGATCGGCGACGGGGTGCTGATCGGGGCCGGGACGTGCGTGTTGGGGAACATTAGGGTCGGGGCAGGGGCGAAGATCGGGGCGTGCTCGGTGGTGTTGAAGGAGGTGCCGGCGAGGACGACGGCGGTGGGGAATCCGGCGAGGTTGATTGGTGGGAAGGAGAACCCGACGAAGCTTGACAAGATGCCCAGCTTCACCATGGACCATACATCGCATATTGCCGAGTGGTCCGATTATGTGATTTAAATTGGGAATTTTTTTTTCATTTTCATTTTGTTTTGTTTTCTTTGTTGCGGTAGTGATCGGAACCGAAGTTCTGGCCATGGGAGGAGCATCGTGTTCTTGTCTGATACTTTTTGGGTACAATAATGGGGATGGCGTCGTAGGGTAAATGTGTGGCCTTCGTTTGCTTGCTTCCTGCTGCTACTTGCGGTAGTAATAGACAAGACGTGGTAATGGTACGACTACGAGATTGTGATTTGTGAGGCACCTGTCGTTGCTTCTAAATTCATTGCTCTGGAAATTCTGTGGTTGTAAATTGTAATATGGAGAAGATGCTTCTGGTTCTGCTGCAACTGAAAAGATGCGAGACTTTCCTGTCGAAGGAAAGTCTTGTTAATTGGTGATCCTCACTAGTAGAGTTAGTGTACTCGGTAGTCGGTTCTATGGCAAATCATCGTGAGGGCATGGCGAATAGCTAAAAGCTCCACAGTGGAGGCATCCACAATACTAGGTTGAGAGCATCCAAATGCAAACAACGGGAAGCCACCTTCAAAACCCACTATACCGACACCAACGTGCGTTGGAGAACAAGTAGCAGCACCATCCACACCTAGCCGTAAGCCTGAACTGAGATTGGGGGCGCGTGATCGACGGAGATGCAGTACTGGTGTTAAATTTTGGGGCTGAACACTGAACAACAATGTGATGATCCGCCTGGTAAGATAAAAATTGACAAAGGAGGGAGGAGATGGTGAATTGAGCATGGGGAAGGAAGACGACAACGTTGGTTAACAATCTTCATCAATATTTTTAATTTTGATTATTAACTCACATAAAGCTACACCACAAATTAATCCCAACTAGAGTACAAGTTTTTAAACTCTAGCCGGGTGCAGTATAGGGCAAGTATTTAAATTGTCAACCCGGGCCGGTCCATGTACCCCTACTTCAATCGCTTAAGTTGTTATCTACCAAAACAGTTTTGGGTTTAAAACTATGAAAACTACAAATGAAAACAAGCAAGGAAAGTAAATAAAGGAAAATTCTAACTAAGGGAGCTTCACCCAGGAGTTGCTTCCCCTTAAATAGCTACCATGACTCGCCGGATTGAATGGAGTCGTGTGGTGTAGGTGGTTGTGAACCGCGAGGGTGAGCAACTAGTGATCGATTTGTCATGGAATCAATTCACTAGCGATCGATTTGTCACGGGATCGATCCACTCACCAAGTCTAGGGGAACCACTAGGAGGAGCAACTAGTGATCCATTTGTCAGGGGATGGATTCACTAGAGATCGATTTGTCACGGAATCGATCCTCTCACTCTGTCTCTAGGGGTTGCCTAGGTCTCTCCCTCAAACCGGAGTTTGAGCGGCTTAATCACAACCAACCTAGATGCAAACTTGAGTCAAGGGGGATGCTCATCTCTAACCTAGATAGTAGGCACAAAGTGCCCAGGAAAACCAAGCTTGTCAAGCCTACCTAAAAAGGTGTGGTTTTCCTCTAATCTAGGTTAGGCAAGCACACAAGATTTGGAAAGCGCAACTAAGCACAATCACCCTGAAATACCTATAATACTCAAATTGATGCAAACCCATACAAAATCATTCAATCTAAACAAGTAACTACAAAGTATTAGTTAGGGATCTACAACACCCAAGAGAAAAGAGTGGGTTTCTAGAGAGAGAAGAGAGGGATTACAAATTTGAGTTCAAGATCTTCTTCTTCTTATAGGCTTGAATCCTTGTCTTCAAGATCCACTCAAGCCTCCAATGATGCTCCAAGATCACTCTAGCACTCTCTCTCTCTCTCTCTCTCTCTCTCTCTCTCTCTCTCTCTCTCTCACTAGAACTACCCTTTTGTGTTTTTGGGCAAACCCTAGAGAGGGAATTGAATTTCTCTGCAAAACCCAGCTCTCCTTCTCTCTCCCCGCTGCTGTCTTCATATTTGCCCGAAAGTGACCAGTTCCCTGACCCGTTGGCCAGTTCACGACCGTGAACACCTAAACGCGTCCGTGAACTCCGCGTCGTCTCCAAAACGCACCGCTTCGCTTCTGTTGTTCACGGTCATTGGCCCAGTTCACGGTCGGAGCAACCGTGAACTCCCTTGGCGTCAGTAACCTCTGAAATCTCGTTGGACTGCTCGATGTTCACGGTTTGTGGCTCTAGTTCATGATCTTAGGAGACCGTGAACTCCCTTGTTTGACCGTGAACTGCAGCTTCTTCCTAGACGCCTGCAATTCACTGTTAAATAGTGACTTCAAACTTTTCTTCGGTTTTTGCGCTTTTTGACTTCCAATTATCCCAAAACTCGTCCTCGACCCTTCCACACGTGCTAGGACCTGAAATGTATCAAAACAAGCACAACCTAGCATGAAATATGTCGAGGAACGATGATCTACTAAGCTAAACGAGTAAGAAATGAGGGGTATAATGTGTACATTTGGACCCGAATCAATTATGTTTCATCAATCATTTATTCACGTTATATCCCCACTAAACGGAGGATTGATGTGATATCCTACAACCCATGCTAAAATATAAACATATTTACAAAAGTTGTATATTATAAAAAAGGGAAAGGAAAACTAAATCAGAAGACGACCTTGCTCCATTCATGTTGATGATAAAATACACCAAAAATTTTCAATTGTTTCACATCTGCACTTGACAATATAGAGCCTAACACTATTTATGGGTGTAGAGAACGTGAAACAACTTAAGGTTGTTATACCTGAGCGCCAGCGTCCAGTTCACTTCGTGAGAGTAGCCCAGTTCATCCTCGGCCCACAACAACCATATGGTTACACTACACAGGCCTACTACTATCCAATTATCTTTCATATGCTCTCTTAGAGAACTAAAAGTTTAGTTCTCCAATTATCTCCCTACTATTGTTGGAAAATAAAAAAATAAAAACTTATCTTTGGGAATTTGAAAGAGAGGGTCAGAAAGAAGCCAAGGAAGGTTCATATCAATTGCAGTTAGGAAAATTCTTATAAAGACGGTGGCTCAATCCCAAATAATAACCCGATGTATGTTTTTCAGATTTCAGAGCGTATCCTCCAGGACATCGAAGGTCCGATCAACGGTTTTTGGCGGAGACAGAGGGGAGATAAAAAAAATTCCCTGGCTAAGTTGGGAGAAACTATGTATTGAAAAGGAAAAAAGGTGGACTTTTTTTTTTTGCGACTTGAGGGCTTTCAACAATGCTATGTTGGCTAAGCAGTTATGGAACATACATACTAGACCTCATGCCCTTATGGCAAGAACCCTCAAAGTTAGGTATTGTTTGTGCCTGGATCATATCAGGCGGTTTTGTGAGACTTCACCGGCCTCGTGCGGCTTTCGATAGTCTGAGGCGGTCTCCGAAACCCTGCACAAAAGGTCCTCAACAGGATTCTGGGAACTTCTCCGATGCCAAAGTTAGAGAGAGAAGTGAATATGTTATAGACAAGAGAGAGAATGGAGTGGGTAGAAGTTACCATAAATGATGCCCCTTGGGGCTATTTATACTAACTCTGGCCTGGGCTTAGGTATTTAATGTCCTGTCAGGCGTCCTGGGACGCTTCTGGACTCATTAAATGTAGCGTCAGTACGGATGTCTGATTTTCTCTGTCGGAAGAGATCAGAGGAGCGCCAGTCCTTTGCGTCGGGCGGTTTTATCAGTGTGTCTGCGTACAATTGTCGGGCGGTCTCCTCGTGGTGTCGATGCGAGACCGCCACAATTTAGTCTGCTTCTTTGTGGGCTTTGTAACCATGGGCCTTAGGGCACACGTATTCAATTACTTGGCCCAACATTTGCCCCTTAGGCGTGAGAAGCGTTAGGTTTTCGCGGCTACCTTGGTCATTACTCTTGAGCGGTCCATGGTTACCTGTCCGCCCTGGCCGTGATCACTTGACGCGAGAACGTCTTTGGGGCGGTCAGGACGCGACGCGTCCTGCCCCTTGTCTTATCGATGCCACGTGTCGTGTCTCGGTCGCTGTGCCTTGTCAGAGCCAGGCGGAACGTCACCTCTGCCTTTTTGTTTTTCAAATTTTTACTATAAGTGGACTTGTGAGCCCTATTGTCCCCCAATTTTGCTTCTATTTGCGAGAAACCCTTGCCTTCTTCCTTCTTCTTTTTCTTTGGCGCGATTAAGAGGCTTCGTTTCCCGGCAATTTTGCTATAAAGTCCAATCCGTTTTCCGGTAAGCTTCATCCTTTTACTGAGTTTGCTTTATAGAGTGCGACCTCCTCTTCGTTTTAGCTTTTGTGCTTCTTCTTTCGTTATTGAATCACCGCCGCCGTTCTTATGTGTTCGGACTTCGCGGGATTTCCTCCCTTGACGCAGATGTAGAGAGACGAACGAAGTCCTTCGGCCGGCGAGGTGGGGAGAGCCACTGCTGCCTTGGATGGAGCGCCTGCTGGCGACTCGGCTCCGACGGCGAACCCTGCCTCCGTCGTGGTCTCGGCGACTGCGCCGCCGCCCTCTCCTGCCACAGGGAAGGAATCCTCGACCCCGGCCTTGCCGTCGCCCCCCTTTGCTGTTGGGAAGAAACCGGCGGCGACCACTAGGAGTTTGGCCCCTACTACTCAAGGTATAATTTGTTCTACCCCCGCTCGAAGCGTTTCTGAGTGCATGTGGGACCTTAACTGGTCTTGACTTGAACTTCGGGAGCGGTTCTGAATTAGACTGTTGTCTTTTTGGGAAAACTTTGGGCTTAGATAATCTTTTAGCTAACATGCGCCCTGCACCAGTTGGGGTTGTGGCAACTTCGTCCACGGATGGGGACAATTTGGGTGAGTTTGGGACAATAGAATTAGATAGCGGTTCCTTGGATGAGTATGATGCAGTTAGTAGTGATGGGGTACGCTCGGAGGCGGTTCCTAGTACTTCATCCTCCCCAAAGGTGGTTAAGTCGGAAGGGGGGGGGGATATCTCGGTTGGCCATTGAGGATTCTACTTATACCATCCTCTGAGATGAGGGTACGTGGGATGGACAACCAGTTCCCCCAGAAGTATTCGAGTGCGGTCCTGAGTATGAA